AGCTGCTTCATCAACTACATCGATTGTAGCGGGGCCTTCTTCCGCAAACAAGCTGTCTGGAGATGTAGTATTGTCTAATGGGGAATCAGAGCAGTGCCTAATTGGTTCTCCGACTGAGGTTGGATCTGTAGGGCGGGGGCGACGGGGTAGGCCATCAAGAGATTCTACTGGAGATTCTTTGTCGCCAAGGCATGCTGTCCTTCGTTTTATTGATGAAATTGAGTCTAGTCAAAATTCCTGGCCATTCCTCGAGCCGGTAGATCCAAAAGAAGTAAGGCTTTATATTCAATCTAGCCTCTAGTTATATGTGCATACATGTATCAATATAATTACATATTCTTGTGTTATTTTTATTGCTATTTCGCGCATTTGAAACATCATTAGCTTAACTTTCTCTTGTCAATTCTCAGGCCCCCGATTACTATGAGGTGATCAAAAATCCCGTAGACCTTTCAATGATTCGTCGTTGGACTATTGAAGGCCGATACGACAATGAAGGTTTGGCTATGTTGGCTCGTGACTTAGGCGATATGTTCTATAATGCAGAATTGTATAACTCGATGGATTCTGAAGTATGGCAGGCTGGATCACGTTTTGAGCAACTTATAAGAAATAAATTCGCCAAAACCAGACCGAGTAGGTTTTTATCTCAAAGGCTTTTCGTTAAGATACTAGCAAGCACATTTTTAAATCATCATTTTTCAGCCATTATATAATTTATCTAATTTGCAATCATCATGTTTTGTATCCGTTCTATCTTTAGTGAATTATATGAAGAAGCTTTTCGCAACCTTGTTCTTTTCGGTTTGATCATTTTCTTTCGTTTTATATAGCAACTGTCCAAGCCCAATTTCAGGGATACAATACGGCAGTGGTTCCCAAACTTTTCCTAGTCGCGGCGCCCTTTTTAATTAAAATTTTTCCATGGCGCCCTACCCTAAGTATGACAATTCGTAAATAAAAGATAAAAATTAATATTTCAATTAAAATGTTTTCATGGCGCCCTACCCTAACTATGACTATTCGTAAGTAAGAGATAAAAAAAATAAAACTCGTGTATCTTCATTAATTTTTTTACTTTATTAACATTAAATTAATATTTAATAATTAATGTGATGGATGAGCCTGCAAATCACTGCACATTTTATCAAGTTGAGGCTTTTACAATATTTCGCAGCGCTCCTGTAAAGAGGCCCCGGTGCACAGTTTAGGAATCACTGCAATACGGTATCAGCAAACGCATTAATAATATTTAATCACTTTTTCCACCTTTCTTTATCAAGAAAGCAAATTTCTTTAAGTCTATA